CCACATGTGTTTTCATAATTAAACGAGGACTTCACGACTTCTATTACGACAATTTATTTTTCTTTATTTTTTGCTATTTCATTCAATGTAAGTTTTTTTGCTTATATTTAATATCTATTCACATTTTCTATATAAATCACATAGCATATATATTTATCAGTTCAATAAAAATTATCATTTAAATGTTATTAGTTTCAGAATTCGTACTGCGTAGTACGAAGTATCTGATAGTATAATTTTACTTACATCTGACTATTGAATTATAATCATACTACTCATAAACTTTCTGATACGACTTGAGAACATTCCATCACATTAATTCAATAAAATTGTACAATTTTATATTGAATACCGTATTTCTTCCAGTCAGATAAAATAAATTAATCTTGATAGGCTGTTTATTTTTGTTCGACGCCATTCTAGACCCATCGATTCTGGGAATCACTCCAGCCATCTCAAACTGCCTTTCTCGTAAATACAAAAAAATTGCTTACAAATTGCCGGAAATTAACAATTATATCGTTTTTAGCGATGACACTCACGCAAAGTATCAAATATATAGTTAAATTACAAAATTATTTCTTTATTAATGTACAATCGAGTATTAAATATTTAATTTTAAAGTATTGTTTAATTAGTTATACATACAAACTTATTAAAAATGACATTAAGTTTCATTAAAAATTATATATAAATTATTGTCAAACATTCAATATTAAAACATAGCATACTTTTATAACGTGGACACAGTCTTATGCAGCATAAAGTATTGTATTGAAAGACAATGAAATATTTCATAAAAACCTGACATAAATATTGTATTCATGAGTATTGTTTCAAGAATAAATTAATAATGTTTCAAAAAAATGTTTAAATTAATATTTACAAAATAATATACAAACATTTTAATTAAAATATTTATTTCCTACTTAAAAAATCTTTCATATAAACACATCAGAAATCTGGCAGAAATATCATAAGAATTACTTTACGAATTTTAAGAACGTTCTAATTAATATTACAAAATATTAAAAAAATATATTCCTTGAAATCTTTATTTTCTACTTTCATAACTCTGGCAACGTTCATGGAAACATTTTTTCATTGTTACAATTTTAGGAAAACAATGTGTGAAATATTTCTTGAAAATGTTTCAAGTGTTGCTGTAACTTTTCCAATAACATTTTTCAAAATAATAGTGAAACTTTTATTAAAATGAATTTTATACATATTTCGAAACTTTAATGAAATATTAATTTTACAAATAATATTGGAAGAAAACCTATTGATGAAACTTTCCAGAAACATTGTAGAAATTTTACAAAATTTTTTTCATTTTTTCATCAGCAATGTGTCGACAAAATGAATATAAACATTCCATGAAATATTGAGAATGCATTTTAGAGGCGAAAATCTGCTGCAATTTTTTAAAGAACATTACTTTAAATTTCTATAAAATATTTCTGTATAATGACTCTTAAGTATTCATAAACTCTGTATAAGTAATTTAAAAAAATTGTTAAATAATTCTTAATATTTTGAGACATTCGAGAAGCTTGTGTTATGTGAATATTTTAGTGAAACATTGTAAAAAATATTTCATAATCACCTTTTTGAAATATTACATGCAAGTTTCCTTAATAGTTGTCAAATATTACACAAAAAGTCATCACAAGATACTTTTGAATTATTGCAGAAACATTACAAAAAATATTATTTATCATGTTCTAAACTATTGTAAAGCTAAAAATTTGATGTCTTATTGCTATAATTTTGTAAAACTTGTGAAAGTTTTAAATTAATTTTTTTGCCAATCCAAGGTATGCCAAGAATTTGCACAAAGAGTTAGTGCACTTTTAATTGCTGAACCTATTGCTAAGAAATTGTTAAGTTAATTAATTAATAATGCTTTTGAAGCTTTAACTGCGATTGTCATAAAAAATAAATATATTTTTATAATAAAAATAATTATTAATTTATACTTTGTTCTTATTTCTATTAATATGAAGAAATATACTCGAGTAACCCATATTTACAATAGTAACTCACAATCAGACGGAAACTTTGATCGATGATATTTTACAATCGGAAACAGATCCGATTTTAGATGAGGCGGATATTGAACATAAAACGAAATACTCAGAAAGGATGTGTTGCCACCCATTATTTTCGTCAATTTAGGTCAAATTTTTGATTCTTCTAGATCACCGTGAACAAATTTAAAAAATTTATTGATGAATTTGGATTGAGGGTAACAAAATACATAAGAATACTAAATTTTTACCCGGTCATTCTTATTGCATACATGATCATATCTATATAGCTAATTACATTCTATAATATTCATATGGTTTTTAATTTTTATAACTTTTTTAGAAGCAACGAAGCTATCACTCTCCGATGCAATGAATGATATGACATAAAAGTCGATCTCAACTTTCCGAGACCAAGCAACCACAAAGTTGAAACGTAGTTCTAGGTAAGTATTGTGTAACGTCTGCTGTAAATTGAACATGTAAATTGTTTTTTAATTCGTTTTCAAATATTTTTTACATAAAGTCTAACATACAAAGGTAATATGAATAAATAAAAATAAAAAATACTACTTTATTAATTTCTTTAATTTTGCTTACTTTGTAGCGTCTCTGAAATATTAAAATGATATAATAATGATCCAACAAAAATTTGTAGAGCATAAAGTAATTTGAAAAAAAAAAACATTTAGCTGAACAAGTGTGATTTTTAAATGAAATTATGAAGTTAGATTTATGGACATTAATGATGACATTTGTCTTGTTAAATCATAAAATATTTCTGTTAAAATTATACATAACGATTATTGTTATTTCAACTAAGTGTATTGATAAATCGTCTAAATATACAAGCATTACGATAATTTTAATGTCGAGTATCATATACTTCATTTACATAGATCGTAAATTATCCTGGAAACATATTGATGGTACTTCAATTTACTTATTAATTAAAAAATACAACATTCGCGGTAGTTATCATTACATATAGTAAAGTTAATACTATATTGTCTGCGAAAATATATGAATTCAATAATAGCTTACTAAAATTAGTCTAAAGTAAGATTCGATAGAAAAAAGTAAATATAATGTTTGAAGAAATATACCGTCAAAATTAATATATCAAAAAATCGTACTATGTGAAGTACAGTGCCGTAAGACTGCCATGAATCGCGCAAACCATTGACCTCGCGGTCAGCCGTCATTGCCAGCCCCGACAAGTTGCTAGGCCGGCCATGGCCACGCCAATATCTCTCATCCTGGTCATCAAAGAATTACAATTCGATTATTGTAATGATAACGTATCGATGTGCAAAAAGACGTATCATAATACCAGGCACAAAATTATTAATCTTTCAGCAACGATGACTTTCCATACTTGGATAGAATGACAGTCATCAGTAAAAGCGTTTAGTTAGTGCTATATTTTTTTAAATAATTCTCACATATTGCATGATATGTAGATAACAACATATCCTACAGCATTGCTGTAGTTTAAACTGCATACACATAAATATTTCTAAAATATGTTAATAATATATTTTATATGTATTTCAAACCTTTCAATAAGAACTTTTTTAAGCAACAATTTTTTAGTAGTATTACAAATTGTGTTGATTCATAATATAAATCTAAGGACAAAAATCAATCTGAAAATAAAGCTATAGATATATGCAAGGTTTAAAAATTAAAATTATTAAATAGAATTTTGTTTAGAAAAATAAAAAAAAATATGGCTGTTTTTGTAAAGGTTTCTCAGATTAATATAAGGCAATATTAAGTATGCTAAAATGAAAAAGTCTTGCATATGTCAAATCAAAGAATCTCGTTGATGACCACTATTTGTTCATCTAACTACCCAATCCACACTTTTTGGACTTGTAAAAATACATTCGGGTTATAATTTACAACTTTGAAATATTTATGATAATATTAATGCCAAAGAAACCTGCTGTTTTGTTTTAAGTCGTGTTTACGGCACAAAAACTTGATTGGGATTCATTGCGCAATCAGACGATTTTGCCGCTCAGGACAGACTCTCTTTTCCTCTTTCTCTCTCTTTCGCACAAATATACATATGCACACTTTTCAATAGTTTTTAAACGTAGTTCATTCGGATACATAATCAATATCTACATAATAAACTGATTTGACGTTTAAACGAAGAAAATGTCTGATCTGAGATTGTTTTTATCGTAATCAAATTTAGTATCGTTTGCAATTTTTAGAATGATGGGAAATGAGAAATATTAGTTATATTTTGTACGATGGTTCATTATTTTATATGTACGCGTATTCGTTATTTCTTTTGTTATGATATAATTTGCAATATAATATATCTGTAGAGTTTTATGCATTATTATTGTAAGTGCGATTGAAATAAATTGAAGTATACATGGAAGTTTACGAAGCAGTCAAGACTTTTTATAATAGAAATAATCGTCAGTTAAGCTTTGCAGAGATTCTTTATCATATTGAAACCTGATTCTAACTTTTCTTTCGATGCTGATTTTAAAAATTAGTATTTATAGCGTGATGATTTTGCTACTTCAACTTTTTTTACCAATTCACTTGGTGCTTTTACTAATACTTACTAAAATAAAAATTACTCATAGCAAAATAAATTATAAATTTTAAGAAAGCATATAGACATGATATTGAAAACTACTAGTTTGGTGGTAATTTGTACTAGAACAAATCAAATTTATCTCACAAAGTTTCCTCTCAACTAATTTGTTTTACAGAAGAAAATTTTTATCTTTACGAATTTCATAGCTAACTGACGATGCCATACTTTTGTCTTTATTTTGTGATAACATTTTTCCTTAACCTGTCGTGAATTAGACTATTAGAACAATACGTCGAAACAATAGTATCAACACATATTAATGATTTTATTTAATAACATAAGTAGATAATATTTTAGTTTGAATGGTAGTAATTATTAAATGACATAATTCATATTAGTACGTCTGCAAACACAATTTATTTGTCTACTGCAGTTCATTACACGTGAAACCTCACGAATTTACAATTAACAACAACAATCATAATTAAAATAATAATTAATTGATAAGTATAATACAATAATTATAATAATAAAAATAAGGAAACCTAATTATCAGTTTTTGCTTCTATGACAGCTGCCTCAATGCTTTTTTAAAAATTCTAGCATACCTACAGAGTGAAATTTTGCATTCCCAATTTTCTTCAGCTGGAAACGAACATGGATTTAATTGCATTTTTTTTCTAAAACTTTGCGCTGTGAACGCATTCTTTTAAAAACAAAATCCAAATGTTATAATGTTGGTGGTTTTTCTTTCTTAAAAATAGTTATTATGCAGTTTGTATCCTTAACATATAATATTAAAAACTTTGCACAATGCTTCCATTTGACTTTCATGAAAAGGTATTTCGCTTTTCAGCGTTGTAATACAGGCTAATGTCATGAAATCATGACGTTGACTGTAGTCAATGAAATAATAATTACAAAGAAAGCAAAAATATAATTGTACGACGTAAAAGAAATGCAAAAGGCAGTAAGAAAATATTCACGAAATCGTCAACTCGGTTTACACGTGTCTCGCATGATTTTATATTCGTCTAGAACGACGCATGCATTTTTTTGAATGTTAAATGCTTTGAAATTTAAACAATGTCGATGTACTAAGAATCATCAATACCGTATACTGCTACTCGAGAAATAGACATTAATATGTTTAACACGAATATGCATGCACACGAGAAAAAGAGCAACGATAACGTTACAACCATTGTTACGTTTCTTTTTATCGTCGACTGCACTTTACTTTATCACCAATTTTTCATTAATTACTTAAATACTCGAATTACTTAATCTTTGTTTAAAAATGTTTTTGCTGATCCCTTCGAATTTTTCAATTGGAACATGTTATTATGGTCTTTGACGTTGTTGATCCATCTTCAATAAAAAAATTGTGTATCCTAAGAAGAAATTTCTATAAGACTTTTTACAGCCAATAAAATAATTACAGCAACATTAAAGACCACAAATTACGTGTTTTCTCCAATAAATTATTCAAATGACTACTTTTAAAATGTATTGCTATACTACGGCAAAGAATGTATAGTATCTCTTTTCAAATTAACATAAGCATTATAAATTTCATAATTTTCATAAGCGCGCAGTCAAATTTACGTTGTACTTATCTTTTGTAACATTGATAAAATCTCTTATTTACAATGAAACACCCAGCGCTTACTTACAAAATATTACATTTAATACACCGCAGTGTTTTAATTTTTGCTATAAAGAAGGAATGTTACGTCTGTAACTGTAAATATTATTTTAAAATGCACTATGATTAAGTACTACGTAAGGCCGAGTGTTTTCAATGTAATATTGAGACTTATTTTTAAATATTGTGCGTCATTCTCAGTTGAGCGTTTCTACCTCAACGTAGTCATAGATGAAAGGTGGGGGAGTAGCTGAATCCACTAAAATCTCCTCTTCTGAGCTTATTTCAGATGAAGCTAATTCCATGGTTGGGTCATTCCATGCGTTAACATCTGTTCCTCCAATATCCAAACCAAGGCGCAAATTGGCTGGAGTATCGCCAAGTACAAAGTGCTCTTCAGTCAAGGGCAGAGCATCTTTCAGTAAAAGCCTGGTACAAGGAAAAAGCATCCTTTGTCAATATCAAATGTATTTTATTTAATAAATTATTCTGTATATAGATTTAGAACGAGTAATACTAAATTTTGAGTAGTGTTATCAAAAAATCTTGGTGTAAAAGTAAGAGTATTACAAAGTCTAGTACAAAAACTTACCAGATGTGTTCTTCAGCGACAACGTGGACTTTCGGAATCGGAAAACCATTGAATGGAGAAGCAACAGGTAAAGTGTAAGCTCCCATATTTTCAAAGATAATCCAGTCGCCAAGTTCCATTTCGTGCATCAGAACGTTTTCCACGACTTGATCGAGGCCATCACATGTAGGACCCCAGATACTTGACGGAATCAACTTTCCATGGCCAGGGCGCAATGGTAACGGTACCACGTGCTGGTGATCGTAAAGTAGGCAGTTGAAAGATCCGTAGACACCGTCGTTGATGTAGTACATGTTGTGGGTCACCGTGGATGGAGATTCACTATCAGCGCGAACGGAGCGTTTGCTATGGATAGCTGTTGCTAAAGTGAAAGCTGATGCAACATAGAATCTACCTGGTTCAGCGATGATGTGCACGTCATCAGCTAAAACAACATAGATAAAATATTATTTATACATCGGAAAATACTGTGTACTTATTTCGAAGTATTGTCGGTGACTTGCAATCAGTATCATTCAAATGAAATTGAAACTCGTTTATCTTGCGTGGATTCATAATTTACACTTACATGGAAAATACTCATCGAGAGCATGATTGACGACATCGGCGATTTTATCGATGCTTGTACCCTTGTTCCCCGGATAACCACCGCCGAGATCGAGGAGGTAAGGCTTAAATCCAATGTCGATGGCCAGATCAAAGAGGCTCTTAGCATGACATATAGCTCGATTGAAAACTGGAGGATCTTGACAACCAGAGCCGACGTGGAAGCTAATTCCAACCACGTCAAGATCCAACACGCGTGCAGTGCGAAGTAGATTCGGGGCTTCGAAAGTTGGATCGCAACCGAATTTCATGCCTAGTTGGCATTGGGCCACCTCTGAATCACAGCGAATGCGGAGAACAATCTGCAAAAATAAGTTATTAGAATTAATTATATCATGTAGCATTGCTAAAAACAGCGTTGTCGGCTAATTTCGACCCGTTTGTAATCTTTCTTAGCATTTTGCCTTTTCTTACTTTAGCCGAAGGGAAGAGTTTCTTGATTTTGTGCAATTCGCTCTCATTATCGACAGTCATAAGGTCAACTCCGACGGCAGCAGCATGACGGATATGCGAAGCTGGCTTGGCTGGATTGGCGAAAATAATTCTAGATGAGTCAATGCCAATGTCCAGAACCTTATTGATTTCATTCTGCAGAGGAAGCGAAAAATGCATTAAAATCGTTCAGTTGCAATCGAACTTTTCACGTGTAAAATATATTTTAAGACAGTTACTTTGGATGCACAGTCAAAACCGACTCCGAGTGAAGCAAGTACTTCCAATACCGTAAGACTGTCGTTACATTTAACAGCTGAAAGCATAAAGTCAAATCGGGTTCGATAAATGTCTATACTCGCTATATGTGCATTCGGCATTGAAAATGCAACTTACCATAAAAAGGATCTACGCGAGGTAGTTTCTCTTTCCATATTTGGTGTTTCTGTACTATATCTCCGATGTCAAGTACGTAAAATGCTTCTTCTTGCAAACCACTGTTAGCGATGTCCTTTACCACGGTCATCAAAGTGGAAGTGTTGTTCAGAACGTGAATGCGTTCGTCCAGGTTGGTTACCTTCATTTTGATTAGTTTAGGGAGTAAATAATAAACTATAAAACTCTACGATAGCTAGGCAGCAAACTGGAACAGACGTTAATTGAGATTTTAATTAAATATTTTCTTAGCGAAGACAAATAATTACTTAAATAGAATTCAGAATTTTCAAGGTTTTCACATAAATGTGACTTGACAATTTAGTTAAATCGAAAACACAAACTAATTTAAATACGTCAACCTAAGAATACTCACGAGGCAGCTGTCAATTAAAATGATGAGAGTCGTGGGGAGGTAGGGTGACGAAGCAAAATGAGTGTTAGGGGTGCTAGCAAAGCCACGGGGGCTCTGCGTTCAGGGCCAACTTCCAGTTGCCGCTGCTGCTCAAACACCCAACAGACTGGTCGACCAGCCTATCGCAAACGGAACCCTGAAAAAATACATCGAACGATTCATTACTATTCTGCGGTTTAATATCGAATTGTTATGAATAATTTTGGTCAAATAAAGCGATTGGTCAACTGTCAGACAGCTTGGCGCTCACTGTACAAGAAGATAACCCAACTGATATATCTTTGTTACGAGCGAAGATCTTATCTTTCGTGTACGGAGATAAGCTAGATTTATAATTGTTATTCATGTGGCAACACTTTTTTTATCATCTACGAGACTCATTTGCGCAAATATTCATCGATAAAAAAACTATTATTGAGCTTTCTTCCAAGAAATTATAGAATTTCAAGAACTCGATTTTCTTATTTTTGAGTGTTCATGATTTATTATGACTGTGTACATTAACTGACTGTATTTATTGAAATAACTCGTTATTGCTGTTGTCATCACATCAATCGAAGGATTCCTTTTTATCTTCAAGAAATTTAGTGATAAATATATTTAAGCACACAAGAGGCTACATTTTTAACTGAAGCGCTTTACAAGTGTGTTTCATAAGCGATGCCAATAAATGATTTACTCAAGGAAAATTACGCATACGTATGGTATTAGTAAAATCTTCAAAGTGCAAAAGCAAAATCTCTAGGTTGAATGCGAATGAATAATGTCGCTTGAGGTAGAACATACATTTTTACGACTAATAAGACTGTTATTATTACGGAGTCACCGTGCACAAAGGAAAAAATAATAGAATTATTCATATACATTTCCGTATATAGTTTGGCGTGACGCAAGCGTAACGAATGAAATTGCAAAGAAAAATACCTTTCCGTGGGAAGTAATTCTCGTGCCGGCTTGATCACACATACAATAAAAACCAAACTTGGAGCGAAACGTGCAGCCAAAAGATAGACTGCACAGAGATAGTCCGTGGACGACAGTTACGCGTCAAAGTACTTGTAAGTCGAGGAGCCGAAAAATTGAATGGTGATAGGGCGAACAGGATCGCGAGTATACGAGTATAGAGCTGTAACTGCGGTTGGAACTTCACTTCAGATTCAGCGCGGTTCTGAGCTCGCAGATACGATTTAGGCCACTATTTATATGAATTCGATAAGTATTATCAGCCGCTCTACTTGTAATCGGTCTCAGACGTCGTCGTCGTCTCATTCTCTCTTATCTGACAATATTCCTGACTGATATGCGCGCGCGAGCGTGGGATATAGGCACTCGCGCGTATACCCAGCTCATCAGCGGAGGGGGATTGCAGCCGAGCGCTGCTGGGGGGCGGTGGTCGGTCCTCGCCAGTTTTTCCTGGATTTTCACTGTAGACGTCTTATCGCTCGCACTCATGACTCGCGCGTGAAACTGTCCATCAAAATCACTTCATATTTCTCAAGAGTCTTTCTTGTCAATAAAATACTCATTCTTAATCTGCTATCGCGCGTGCGTACTAGTTTAATAGGGAGATGTGATTCCTACAATTCTTACCTGCAAAATTTAATCACGCAGAAAATTCAATTTTAAAGTTTTTCTTTTTTTTGCCACTCGATCCTACATAGCGAACAAATTCGCGAAAAGTGCAAGTTTGTTTTTCTTAAATAACTAAAAAACTATAGCTCCTATCAAAAAACTTTAAGTGAGAAAGTTACAGTTTATAAAAAGATCTATTGATTACATTTATTAATAATATTGATTGTTTTAATACTTTTCGAGATAAATTGAAATAACCCTTAAAAATTGAGATATCTGTAATTCGTTAACAGTCGTGTTTCCACAATTGATATTTACTAAAGCTTAAGGATATATGACTTCAAGTTTTTTTGAGCATGTTTTTTGCAAATAACTTTTCCACCCCACGTCTTATAAAAGTGATGTCTATAGAAACGGATTCCTGTGATTTTTCTCATGAGCTTAAAAAAGAAAATTCTGTACTACGATATTCTAGAGATAACAGATTTTTTTTAATATAGACGACGCAATTATTACTTTACAGCGTTGCATTTACTGGACAAATATAATAAATAAATAAACTTTCAAGAAAAAAAAATACTTCGACACGCTTCATTTATTTGATTGACAAGTAAAGTTAGGTGTTTGACATGGAGTGTCTTCTAGAGTATTATCTAAATTAATGCGTACCTTCAAAATGATTCGCTTTTAGAAAATCTTTAATTTTTCGCGATTTTGAATACTTAGATAAATCGTTTTGTACTTAATGTGAGGTAACTTGAGAAATGGTATAGCAGCATGTGCTTTTTTTAAAAATGATGCCACTTACAAAAAGATTTTTTTTAGTGGCATCATTTCTATTGCGGGTATTCAAAAATGTGAGAAATTAAACATTTTGCAAACGCGAATCATTTTGAAGGTATACATCAATTTTCTAAAAAATGCTCGTCGTATCAACTCCCCCCTTCGCTCACTCTTTTACCCATTCAACAAACTCTAAAAAACATACTCTGTGCCAAATACCCAACTTTCCTTGTCAATGAAAAACTGTACAAATAAGCAAGAAACAAAAATTGTTTAGAATTTCATTTTCTACATGATCACATTTTTTTACAGATAATAATTTTAGGAAATTTAACATTATGTCATGCGGCAGATTGCTTAGACTGTACATAAATTTCCCTCATGCTGTTTTATGTTATTTACACAACCATTAAACATTGGCCTTTTTTAATCCTCTTTAAGTTTGTGTAAAGCTGTAGCGGATCATGCAGAGAAAACTAACAGTTATTATAAAAATTCATTTTTTCCCTATTTTTCATGAAGCTTATTCTACAGTATTGACTAAGCCTAAAATTATAAAGAAATATTGTCAGAAAAATGGAATTTGACTAACTAATGCTGACTACTCAAAGTGCATTACGTTTAGAAGAAAAGTTACAAAAATTTTACACAAAATACTTTAGTAATTTCTTGAACAATAAGTAACATTAAATCAGATTCCAGCTGAAATTCTAAGATTTAAAAAATAATTTGTATTTGGAAACATCTGGTAGAAGAGAAAATGTTATTCTTTATCTGGAAGGGTAGCGAAAAATCAATCTTAATTCCATATAAAATTTGAATCTTTTAAATCGGTCAGGTGGAGAATCAGAATTAGATTGTGATTGTATAATATTAGGTAGGTGTTCTACATATTTATAATTATAGAGAACCAAGACTAACCCCTACAGTGTACCTTTGCAGCATTCCACATGAAAGAATTTCTTTAAGTAACAACAATAACAATATTTGAATCATTTGAAGTAGCAACTGTATCTGTGATTTTCTCATGAAAAAAGTAATGATAATTTAATAGATATTTTGCCAATTACTAGAAATTTACGGGATGCTATGTCAGTGTTTGAGAACAGCGTATTAACAAAAAATTTCAGTATAGTAATCATTAATCTACAATTTTACAAACTAAAATTTATTCAGACAGATATAGGATATTTTATAAGTTCTCATGATAGTGAAATGTAAATAGAGAGAATTTTCATAGCAAAAATAGCCAAGTGATCAAGTACTAGATTTAACAAATAATGCCAGAATCAATGTCATAAACAATATTCCTACATTATACATACTACCATACAGTTTTTTCAAATGTTACTGTTATAATACAACCGTCAGCATCAATTAATGAAACTTCATTTCAAGTCTGTAAGTATTATGAAAGAAAATAATAATTCTAAATTTTTATGGAATGAAATTTAAATATCAATATTTTTCATAGATAAAACGAGAATAGTCACAAATTTTGTCTGTATAAAAAAAAAAAATAAATTAGACAGTGAGTTGGTTTGTTTAGAATCTATTAATCACGCCTGGAAAAAAGATTTATATTTTCTTTCTATAGAAATATCATAAATACAAAAAAGGTTCATCGAAATACATTACTGTTATATAGCAATATGGTGGCATAGTAGATTTTAGGATAGAAAACTTTGTAACATAAGTTTGAAAAGCATGAAATTGAGTTATTCACAAATTATAATAACCGATTAAAAGGATTGTTAAAAATGTGTAGAATAGAATCATGGAAATTGTATACACACTAGAATGCCCTGTCAACATTTGTAAACATTGCAGAGTGATTTTAAAAGTTTTTAACCTGAACACATAATATATACATTTTTATATATTACATTTATATTTTTTTTTTCAGGATACTACTGAATAGAAATCCAATGAAAACCAGCAGCTGACAATATTGAATATCCGTAGTAATAATATCAAAACAGACATCATTTGTTAAGTCTTATATTTTATTGAGAAAACTTTTATTTACTGTGAGCTATTTGGAAAGCAATCATTCAACTTGAGTTTGATAATGATTATATTGCAATAAAAGAGGTTCATATATTGATTCTCTACTTCGCAATAAATATATAACCTTAAAATTTATTTTTGTAAGTTTTGATTTTGAAATCGCGTTATTTATTTTGTTTAATTTACTTTGCAGTTATTTGTTCAGTTTTAGGATTGTATAAGTACATTAAAATGAATAATTCAGACAGTGATTTTAGTGGCAGTAGTTGCAATGATCTAGTTTCTAATGAAATCCGAGAAATAACAACAATGCCCATTGTTTGATTTACAGAGAAAAAGCTTAATAAGATCTTTAGCTAAAGTAAAACAATACCTCCCATGTGATATCAAGTGCTATCTAGGCAAACCGTACATCTGTGTTCTGAAAATAGTTTATAGTTTTATTAAAAAATGTAATATAAAAATCTAATGAAATATAATTAATTGTGTCTAGTGTAAATATATCCTAAATTTATTAATTTTTGTTTTGTATAATAAACTGCTTTTGTAATAAAGTTAATAAAGCTATAAATTAAACGAAAATTATTAATATTGTAATTGTCAAGTGTTCAATAAATTAAGTCATTAATGTATTACATAGGAGTAAGTTCCTAGTAATAAAATCATTTTTAGTTTTTAACCTTGATAATCTATATTCTACAATCTTGTGTACTCAATGGCTCCCGATCATTCATTCACCGGTAAAGCAAGTATTAAAATTATATTTGATTTTTTAATTATAACAAATTATTATTTATAAAATAAGTTATTGTATATTGATAAAACGTATGAAAATTAACCTAATATTATCAGGAAGAAGACATTTTAAGATTATATTGTAATAACCTTAACTATTTTAATACAATCTTTGGCGAAACCATTCATTTACCAGTGAAGTTACTCCTACAAGCGAGATTATTTTTTGTATTAAGCTTTTAAATTTAAATTTACTTTGTAATAATACTAATTATTATAGTTGCAATGCAATTAGATCTTTTTGAAAAATATGAATTTGAAAAATATATTTGCACAAATTGTACGTTACTAAATGACGAATTGACACTTTGGATATAATTATTATAAGGATAGAAATTGCATATAGATATACAAGTATGGTTGAGAGACGGCGAGAGAAAATAGTAGATTTCGTATCTAGATCGGAAAAGTATTAGTTGTCAAACATGTGCTATGGCCTTGCTAATTTTCCAGTTATGGCGCGTGTACTATTTTTTTGCTCATTAAGGTCTAAATTAGCATGGTACCGAGCATGTCGCAGTTGGGTATATTTTCACCTCGAGCGTCAAACACGCGTTATGAGCGAATAAGTTTGCGACCTTGGTTTGTAATTCATTATTTTGTCCAGTGGTCCGAAAGTAGCATTTTCCAATTCCGGCTGGATCGGTAATTTGCTAATTTCTATCTCGGTGGGCAATAAATCATTACATTTAGTTTTACAATCAGTCCATTTGCAAACATTTTTTATATAGTTGCATGTTGCATATAACATAACGAAAATTTATTATATTTATCATACACAATGCAATAAAAGCAGTCATACACCTAATTTGGTAGCCACAGATATTCGCCAACAAAAATTCTCGTTGGACACTTATTCAGACTTATTTAGGGTTTCCCAAATCTACGACGCCGAAGTTTAAGCTGTCTATTAATATTGAACTGCTAGAAGATTAAATCATTTGTAACTGTCCTAATTTTACCATTAAATTTTTGCCATTTTTCATTTTCAACAAATTTTTTAATAAAATCAATAAACATTCAATCATCTAAAATATTAACTATTTATTTTTGCAATACAAAAGGGTTGACGAGTCATAAAAATAATTAATCGCTTGATGTATCAAAAAAATTGAATATTTCACACACGTTTCTAGGTTAAAAAAATAATCATTTTCTTTTTTCGAATCGTAAAAATTAGACTACTTTTGCTTATTTTATTGGAGTCTGGCTACTGGGAAAAAGACAGAACATTCTAGAATAGTGTTGAGACGGTCGAGCGCTCATTTGCTCGTCGCTCCCACCCCTATTTTCTACAGAGCAGTGAGACCGAATGGTCGCTTCAGAGCATCTGCGCGCCATTCAATGATCAATCTAGAACTTATGAGCCTTATACAGGAGGCTAGTTTTTCTATAAGGGTCTACATTAGTTTCTTACTTACCAGGTCAACACTTGATGAACACAGTTGGCTAGAAAGACACCTCCAAGGTCTTTCTAACCACCGTCATAACGCCATTAATTATGACGGCATAAGTCCCTTGGTATAGTAGCTGTTAGCAATATACATCAAATTGTACACACTCGCACAGAGTTCTTCGTAGATAAGGAACATGTCATTATCGCCAGTGCGAATAGATTGAGTGCATATGATCCCTTTTGAACAACGAGAACCCGTGAAAGAAGACAGTAGCGACTGAACTATACTCTCAGATATTTTTCAGGTAGAATTGAACTCGAGACTTCCATTTTCCCGGTGACAGAGGGAAGCGTTCTTTTCCTTTCGACCATTTGCAGGGATCCAATCAGCGATTTAGGTGGGCGGTGCGACAGAAGATTTGCGCGGACTGCGAATACCTGCGGAAGGTCAATGTTGTCTCTTTTCTCCGAGCCTCCGATGCCGTCATCAGGGAAAGCCCGTCTAAATTTTTGCCGAAACGAGTTATTATAGAAAACCGCCTTTCGATTCTTTTAGTTTTATTTAGTTATTTAGTTATTGTGTTTTAGTGGAAAGTAAAGAAAATGTATTCGTGATTTAATTGGCCGAAGGATAGTCACGTGATCAGCTGTTACATGATAACATATATGTTGTGTCCATCGAGACGACCCTGGCAGAAAGATGATTGATTTAAAAAAAAGTAAAATATACCATTAGCTTCGTCTTAATTTGGTCACTCGAAAATTGCTATTTTGGAATTTGTACCCCCCAAATGTTAAAAAAAAAAACGATATTTCGGAAAACTACTCCTGGTAGAAAAATGATAGATATCTCAAAAGAAAAAAATACCACTAGTTTCATTTTAATTTGTACCATCAGAAAAATGTTTTTTTGGAATTTGTACATTTGACAATTAGAATTTAAAAATATCAATATAAATACTAATATCTAATTTGATTATTGATGTAACAATTAATACGTATTAAGCAAAAGTGAGATTCTGAAATTGCGCACTACTACTAATTAAAAACTAATGAAATAATGCAGGATGATAAGGGTGACAGGAGCGTGGTTTTCTAAAAGAACTGTTAAGGAGTTAGAACCGGATTGTGCCGGAAAATTTGATGCTATTGCGTAATTTTGTTTTGAGACGGAGGAGAGAACGCGAGTATTTTCGCGCCAACTGACCTTGAGGAAAAATACCTGTCCCGGCCACTTTAAAGCTGGGCAATCATCTGATGATTGGAGTCTATCGTAAATATACCCGGACGTTCTCAACGACCGGCGTGCGCGCACGTTGATAAATTTGATAAAGCGAGTCAATCATTCAACTCAACTTTTTTCTTGCTATATCTCAATGATTTTACTGCTTAAATGCCATCCTTCGACGTACTTTATTTTATATAAGGATAATTATGATTATGATTCTTTGTAATTTCACTAATGACACGTTGAATTAGTCAACTCGACTGATAGTGTCAAGTACATTTAGTTGGAATGTAAAGCATAGTAAACTGACAATCTCTTAAAGAAATAATGACGGTTCCGTACCGACATCGATAATCATTCCGTGTCAAGAGCAACTACACGATTACTAGCAATAAAAACTTTCTTTTAATGAAAAACGCATACTTGATGGTCTAAATATTTTATTTATCAGATAAGAATAAGCGTCGCAATGATTTTGCTAAATCGAATCATGTCATGACTTTATTTTTTGACGCAAACGCATTACAGTAGTATTAGTTGGTAGTCAGAATTTTATCAGTTAATATCCGCACATCACAAGGTATAATTAACGCAAGAACTGCGGGCTACCGTTCAAATTTTTTTCATCAATAACGTTTCAAGATAAAATTTATATGCGAAACATCCGTTAGATAAGACAGGTAGTGGATTTATTCTTACTTTTCTTTGTACGCAGATTTCCAAGAATTTCGTTCGCGTTTGCGTGTGTGCTTTACACGAGCGTTAATCAAGGCAATTTCGTCAAAACAATAACGATGTATATTGAAAGCGCGTGCACACGCTCACAATTGACCTAAATTCGATGAACCCTGCTCAAAAGTTAATTTATTTCCGAGAATTAAAAACATATCTGGTTATTTTTTTTAACAATACACGCATGCAAGTCAGTTGCATTTATCTCGATTTATACGCAAGCGGAGACGCGTTTCGGTCGTGCTATAATTTATTTCATTGCTCTTGAAATAAAAGCTTGTTTTCAAAATTATTCATTACAATGGACAGCTTGCAATCAAATCATGTTCGTTTGAATGATCGCTTCAATATTTCTTTAGCCTTCGAATATCACTTTTGCATCGATATTCGTAATTTATTCTTGAATAAGATTTTAGTGCCATTTATTTGTAGCTTCCGCAAGTGCAGCTGACTATACTAAAGAAACAATAAGTAAATGTGGCAGCGAGTAAGGTGTCATTAAACAACAGGTCATAACGCGACTGAATGAACAAAAATGAAAGTCATAGAGGGAAATTATGCGAAAGAATGTAATATTTGAAGCAGTTAATCTGAGAGTGTACGAGATCGTTGGAAAGAAATGCGCAATAGCGTATGTAGGAAAGAAGTCAAACCGAAAAAGCAGTGTCCGGAGAAAAAATGAATGAAGTCGGTCAACAATTGTTATTACAAATAAAAGATCTATTCCTCGTGATGAAGTTACGACGGGAATGTATACATCTCGCGGCGATGACCTTTTACATTGCGAAGTATACAGTCGTGATGGCCGAGACTGCTCAGACGAGGCACGAAACGACGAACAAGGGGCAAGTGTACCATCTCTATTTCTTTCTCCCTTGCGCCCCTCTTACGCTCGATGCACTACCCGCACGAGCGACGATAAAATCATGCCTCCTTGCTGACGATCGGCGCATTTACGTCAGCAGTTTGCGATTACGTTCTACGTTGAATTTCAGCCTCGAGTGTACATAATATAGACATCTATCTCACGTCTGTATAAAAAATTGGAATATTGTACTGATAAAAAGCAGCACGCGCGACGTACGACAGCGTGAGCAAGCGTAGATGGAACGTGTGCGGCTGGCAAGCCAAAAGTCGAATCGAGTCGAGCTCTCGCTTCGCGCGAATGCTGGCAGAGGACACGACGTTTAAAAACGCAAAGATATGAAGGTTGTAGCTATCTCACCTTATCGGACGATCGCCACCCTGCGGGCCCGCACTCGGTTATCGACGGAATGATGGAGGCTTGATGTGACGGTGTCGAAGAAATGAGTCAGAAGGCAAGCTGTCCAGACGAGCGATGCTCGGGGCTGGACTCAGAGCGGCGAGCCTTGGCGCTCAGGTTGCTCAGCTGCGGGCGGCTGCTCTCCAAAATGACCAGTGAGCCACTTGCAAACATTCGTTACCTCTTCCTAACTCGACTTCTTGCAGTCAGCTACTGCTCCTCTTGTAACGTCCACTTGCACTATCTTACGTTGGTAGCGGGAGCGACTGAGCCTCCGCACGACGCACGTCTGTGAGTAATGGATTTACTGCCGATTCCCCTGGATGTTCATGCTCAGCAGTTAAAATAGTTAAGGTTTCTTGTGAACTCGGAGTCGAGGTGGCAAGCGAGCTATTTTGCACACGACGCTTCTATGGCTGGCTGCGCGTGACGGTTTAGCTCGTCAGTAAAGAAGTGGTAGGCAGAAAAAGAGGAGGAAACGAACGAATGAAGAGCTGTCGACGACAAAGTTCCGCCGTTCCACGATGGAGACTGAGGAGGAGCGAGACGTGCTAAGAGCATAGAAGGAAAGAAAGAGAGAGAGAGAAAGAGAGTGTGGGGGCCATGGACTGCAGAGTCAACCGAGAAGCACGTGCGAGAGCAGAAGGGCGCGCGAGCTTTCGATTTATGACCCCGGCTCACGCGAATCTCTATGATGCGACCACCACACCAGAATGTTGTAGCAGCCTGCAGGTTAAAGTGTAGTCGTAGACTCATACATATGCGATGTACGTTAGCTTGTTGACTTGACCCCGGTCCCATACTACGTATGAATGCGGACGGATACGGACGCGAATCGCAACTCTAGTAACATCACTAAAAATATCTAGTTCGATTATTTAGTATCAACACTACCGGTAGTGAGCAAAAGTAACTGTTGTTTAAATCTGTAGCGCCGAACGTACCACATTTAATGTTCAAATATCAGGTCTACAATTTACTTTTCAAATTCTCATGAATATTGCTTATTGATGAGTATGCTGATGTAAAAAAAGCTTTTGGGATGATTAATACACATCATTTATATATATTTTCTTCTTCTTCTCATATATTCAAGTACTTCCATAAAATTAAGGCCTAATTCCACTAATTGTAATTGAAAGTCTATCAATTCTCTATCATTTGCCATCTTATAGACTGCAATAATGTAAAGGTTAGATAGGCGTTACATTAAATGTGGTACGTTCGGCGCTACAGTTTTAAACAACAGTTACTTTTGCTCACTACTGGTAGTGTTGGTACTAAATAATCGAACTAGATATTTTTAGTGATGTTACTAGAGTTGCGATTCGCGTCCGTATCCGTCCGCATCCGTACGTATGTACACCTATGGGACCGGGGCCAACCCACTAGCTCTTTTATTCGCGCTATCGCTTACAACTAAGCGTAGAAGGTGAAAAATTTAGAAAGATGCTCAAGAATCATTATTACAATTTAAAAAGTCCTTACCAACTAAACAGACATTAAAATAACATTTATTAAATTTTTCTGGTTTTGTCAGCGGCTGTTCATCGCACCATAATTGCATTCGAGGTAATTTAGGGCTATTGAGCTCGGCGCAATGGATATCAGCGCTCTCCTTTATTCGGTCACAATTCAGCTTTGTTGTAATATCCTTGCAGATGTTAGTCAACAAAGCCAATCAGCAAATGAAGTCCTCTGTTTCCTTCTCGACAAAAACGCAGTTTTGTATTCGTTTCTGTAAAATAATAGCATTTGCTTAGAAAAAGCGTTGCATACAACCACCGCTATAGAACATGCACCTCTACTTTGAGTAGGCCTGAACACTGTAACAGTTTACGTCTTTGACCTCATATATCTTGGTATGAACGACATGTCCCCGAGCATGACCGCGCGTTATGTCCGGGTGGCTATTCCCCGACTGAGTCGATTGTTTGCTTATAGCGTCTCCTAGGTATGTGCCATTGTACCGCGCATTACCTAGGAAAGGCTCATCGGCTGCTAGCAATGTCTTATAAGCCAGTCTTATCGGCGTACGACCGTTACCGTCTCGCGCTTCAGTTCCAATCTCTTCAAGCCATCGCAAACTCCAGTGCCCAACTACACTTTAACTTCTCAGTACTCTGCCTCGACTATTGCTTGGCTGTCACCTGTTTTGTCGCAAGTGTAAACTACTCTTTCATTTTGCCAATTGTTGATCGGGCGTTTTATTATTTGCTCAGCATTTAATAATATTTAATACCAGCTGATCCGTTCTCGTAAATATTTTTAATTATAGTGATTATTATTATCAAATATCTCATTTCTTTCTCAATCCGATCTTCAGAGACACTGCAAGTTTGTGCTGCTCCATTGACATAAATTATTTAGTTTTACAAACATGCTTTATTGAGCAGATTTAATTTTTCCTTTTATCAGCGTATTTTATGTAAAAAGATTTTTTCCAATTTTCAAATGGATGTTTTACAATAAAATTTAATACTTTTCATTACATGACATGATATTCAGTATTGTACTTCATTCTAAATATATTTAAGTAATTTTAAATAATGTTCGATGAGTACCAATATAATATGGCGATTGCCCAATTAAAGTCTTGGATATAAAGTTACTACAAATACATCGGCTTTATCGTCATCATACTTTTCGTAGAAATGTTTCATGACAACTACAACTTCACTCATTTCTCCAGGATTTCCGAATTTTTCGCCTTTATACCAGTATTGAACTTTTGGTAATTTCCTTTCATCGATCCATAATTTCGTTGCTGGAAGTTTAACAACTTCTTTTAATGCACGTTTACCGTGATGATTCAGGATCTCCATAGCATCCTGAGCTGCATTATTTTTCAAAACATAGTGAGCCACAAAATCTTGATCTGATCGGGATAAGAAACCAGTTTTTCTCTGAATTTGATTGTGGCGATTTCTAATTTTTGAGTAATTTTCTACCGAATCTTTAGGCCCTGAAGCTTGCGGATACGAGGCATGGCCACGGGGATGCCCGGGTTCCATATCAGGATGTGACTTTCCATTTTGCGATAAATCAAGAATTCGTTTGGAATCTTTATGAGATATTCCATTATATCTTGCACCGCCAAGAATATCTGATGAGCGATTTTGAAATGTCATTCTTAGAGGGAATAAAAAATTATTGAGTTTATTAATAATTATACTAAATGCTGTGGTACTGACCAACAGATGCTGGCTCCTCAAGACCAATAATAAGATTTTTTTTACGAGAGCTATATTTTAATGTCAACAGTTTCCTTCTTATTTCTCTTTGGAGGCGGTCGGGTCGAATACCACATTGAGATGAAATAACTTGCAATAAGCAGTCATTTGGGAGAATTTTATCGGTTGACATATTTTTACCATTTTTCAGTATAAAATGTCCTAATATTATTGTATCACTACCTATGCATATTGAATTATTCTGTTTAAACTCGACTTCAATACTTGGCTCTTCCAAATTATCTCCACAAGAATAAATAATATTTCCATTTTCCCAAACTTTTATAGGTTTTCTTAAAATTTTTATCAAATACTTCAAATATTCAATGTTTATTGGTTTGTAATTCTTTAAAATTTTCCATTTATGGTGCCAAACTTTGTGACTTATTCGCTTCGCAAATTTTCCTGATTTTTTTATGTAATATGCTCGAGGAAAGGACCCGTTGCATGGAATTTGGTGTTTTTTCGAGAACATTTTAAGAACGGGAGGACCTGCGATTGATACAATAATTTGGAATATGTTGCAGTTCATTTTAAATATTTCTAACGATTAGATAATTTTTAAGTCAACGCATACATACATCAGATAACTTAGGAAATATTTCACTAAACTTTATTTGTAAAACTTTTTACTCCTTAATTTTTTGTTGGTTAAAATCAACTACAAATTTAAAAACTGTTTATATAGACTAACCTTTGCGCGTACTGCAAATAAAATATAGGAAAACAAAAACTATACAATTTTTAATTTGATAAACATTATATTGTATATTTGAAAGTTATCCATATACATACGTTGAATACACGAGAATTAAAATTTATAAATTTTAATGTAATTTTAATTAAATTTCAAGATTTTATTTACAAATTTATTGTTAATAATAAAATGAATATAAAATCGATTAGACAACAATATTTTATTCACTAAATTTCTATAAAAATATTTACAAAAATTGGATTTTCATTTTTCGTTGTTATAAGTAATCCACGTAATAAGCAATCTAATTAAAGCGTCTTTTAGTGATATAGATTGGTCAAGAGCTTGATTAATGTAAAATTCACATCCGAATTGTAACATTAATTTGCACTCACTTAGATCTTCAACAAAAACTTTGGAAAAGTCAATTAAACCTTTCAAATCATCTTTTGTTAGAGCTTTACTAATTGTCCGATTGGTAATAGTTTGATTCATAAGATTAATAAATGATTGGAAGCATTCTTCAGTTAAATCTTGATTAAAATTATTTTTAAGACTAAGCAGTATTTTTATCAGCAATAAATTATGATGAACTTCTCGAGTCTTAGTTTCTTTGAAGGTATTGATAATATTGTTGATAATTTCTACGATATGCTTAATCGCGATTGCATCTCCTGTTTTAAGAATTTTAGTAACATTTACCAACCATGGCAATAAAGAATAACCATTTATAAGTATTGTACACAACTTTGTTAATAACGTAGCTGACTTTACAATCTGTAGAATAAGGTCCTGTAAAATCGGGAAATAAATTATTGTTCAATTAGATATTTAACCAAGTGAAACAAAATACCCAATCAATACTTACTTTTGTTTTTTTATCTGCTATTGAGGAAAAATAGAAATCAAACAGCATTTTGAACAACACACATTTTAATGCCACGTCTATATCATTATTAGTTTTTAATCCATCTCTAATCACTTCTAGAATCCAATGTCTATGAATTTGATAATGGATTTCTGAACTGTGATATAATTGTAGTAATTCTGGAATAGTATTTAAATTCATTGCTGGTTTTGCCATAAGAAATGAATGAAGTGGAGAGTATAATGGATTTAGAGGTTGAGTTATAATTAAACATGTTCGGGCTAGAAAAGTTGCCACGAATCCATTCAACTGAACATTTTCGATAGATATTTCCAATTTCTTTATTCCATTGTGCATGGCTTCTAATAAATTGGTCCATAGTGATTTTTCTTTCGATCTATACCAAATAGAATTCAAAATCAAACAAACTAATTTTATTATTTTATATATATACTTATAAAATATATAGTAAAGAAAATGAACTCAATAATACAATTATAAATAAAATTGCGAACCTTGTGGCTTCTAAATGAAATGTAAATTTAGAAATCGTATCAAAAGCTTTTAAACGAATTTTTTGACAACTACTACTACATGCCATGATTGTCAAAGATAAGGCACCACTGTGGATTACTTTATGACAAGCTACAACATTATTATCCCTCAAAAGCTGATTAAATATTGGCAAATAAAATGCAGGGTCATATACTTGATCGTTTGATGTTTCATTGCTTGCAAAATCATCCTGCAATTGAGATAATAAATTACAGTATTTTTCATATAGACAATAAATAACATATTAATTTTAATATCCTTCACAATAAACCTCCAAATTTCTGTGTGTAGGAAAATTTCGAATTGTATTATCCACATTTGAAGAAATTAGTAGGTCCAAAACTTGCGATGTCGAAGGTTGTCTCCACAAAGCTGTACCAGATTCATTTTTAACACTATAATGTATTGCAGCAGCATTGCCCCATAAATACGGATGAAACTCGTTTAATTTTATATTATTACTTTCATAAAATTCTAAAAGCTGCAACATAATAAAATATAATTATTATATTATAATTAAAGCAAATTAAGATTTAGGCTATTCAAACTACTCTAGTTTTATTAATTTTGCAATTTATTATTTTTGAAAAGCATAACTGTTGGAAAATCTTCCGGAATGCATTTAATAAAGATTAATAATTCTTCTAGCTTAAGAAATGGATAATTCAGCGAAAGTAGTTCTAACTCTAACTAAACGATTTTTACTGCTTACCCTGAAAATTAATTGATCGCTTTTAGCCAAGGTGGCATTATATGCAGCTAAATAGAGAGGGATATGACTTATTGACACCAGAGAACGATTTTTTCTGACTAAAATCCATAATAATTCGATAAGATCACCTGGAAAATAAAAATTAAAAATAAATATTTTCAGTTTTATGAATATTCAATTAATAAGAATTTTAATTGTTCTTACTTTTGATCTCTGTATTACTAAGCATCACATTCATAAAATCAGAATGTGATATTGTCATTTCAAAAATAGTTTTAGTGTATTCTTCATTTCCGTTATTTTTGTAAGCAACATCGCAAGTGGCAACTAATGCCTTTAATAGTAAATCTTCAGTTTGATTATATTTTGTCATTTTTAGTCCAGACTTTAACATGATACGAGTGAATTGTGACCAAGAATTATATTTAACGAGTTCGTCAAATACAAATTCTGTATCAACTTTCAAAATTTGAATAGATTCCATCAAGATTAGACATAAAAAGTTCAATTTTGTGTTATTTTTTGAATCCTTTTTCAATACTATCACAATTACATGAAGAAGTAACTGTACAAAATTTCTTAAATTACTTGGTTCTGTTTTCGAAAATTTTTTAAATAAACTAAATATAAATTTTACGCGTTTTTCACACACTAAATTTAGTATTTTTTCATTTGATAAAATTGCGTTGATAACATCTTGGTATAATGTTGAATCTAAAAAATAAATTTTTAATGTCATTCAGTTATATCACTTTAAGTAACATATGATTAATTAAAAGGATAAGCTTTTTTAAATACTGGATTACTTACCCAAATATTTGTGAATTAAATGTGATACAACATTTATGTACTCTTTTATCCAAAAGCACTCTTCACCATTTATTAAGTATTTCATAATATCTGCCTTGTAAAGCTCAAAAACATTTCGTAAAAATTTTTCATCATACCTATATTTCAAGTTATATGAAATTATTGAAAAAATAAGAAGTTTATGATGCAAAATATTATTGTTTTTGTTTGTATGCTTGATAAATGTGGCTAAAAATTTAGGATTTCGCTTAATTAATAATTCTAATATTTTTTCAGACACAGGTGTTATTTCACTCTTCAGGAAAGATGTAAATATATCTGAAATAGGTACATTTAAATTTTAGGAATTATGAATTTCATTTTAAAACGAATAGAACTAGAATTAATAAATACAAGTGAATTATCAACTTACTTCCATCAATAATAAAAATAGAATGTGGAAATTTCAGTAGGTATTCATATAAACTGTTTTCCAATATACTGATTTCCTTTTGACATAGCCTTTTCAGAGCAATTGTATATATAATCAATTTATTAAATAATTGGTCGCTCAATGTAATTATGAATTCTGATCTGTTTAAAACGGGTTTTGAAGATAATTGTTTAATTAACTCTGGAATAATAATTCCCCATATTGACAACTCACAATTATCTGTTGTAATAAACTTTTCTTTTTCTAATACCATAACATTACTTATTAAGTCTACAATAGTTTCCTTACTTAACCTTAATAAACTAATAACTTCTAGGTGAATTCTTAAATCTGATTCTACCTCACTATCTTTATGCTTACGAATGAATGATTTTATTTGTGTTATAAGTTTTTCTTGATAAGGATAAAATACTTTTGACGTTGAAAATTTATTTTCAAAGCATGTGAAAGATTTTAGAACTTCAATAATTAATGTTGTAATTTTAAATTTTGTTGAATTTGAATCTGTAAATATTGGCTGAAAGTTATGTAAAAGTATTGGGTGATTGAAAATGTATTTAATGCAGCCTTTTGTTGTGTCTGTGCCAGTAGACTTCATGTTTTCAGCAATTTTCAATAATACTAATAGTATATTTGTATACATTACAAAATTTTGAGATTCTTTGTTATTTTCTTTTGACAATTGTACCAAATAAAAGATCACCATACGAAATAAAGCTTTAACTTCAAAACTAGTCAACTGATATTCGTTGGTAATATCACCACATTGAATACATAATTTAGATTCAGCGATTTTTATCTCATATACATCACAATTAAGCAATATTTTGTTAAATACCGAAAAAACATTTTTTGAATTAAAAAGTTTTTTTGACAACGTTGAAGGTTGATTCTCTTTCCATCTTGTTACATACTTTTGAAATGGAATAACCAACTCTTCAGTCAAAGATATTAATGCTTTTGGTGAAATTTGACAGTGTAAAATGTAAGTCAGAACATAAGACAAATAATTAGCTATTGTTTGAGAACTATTTTCTCGATAATTTTCAACTGCACCATATACAAGCAATGATAATGAATTAGCTGGCAATATTGGAACTAAAAATTTAACGTTTTTGATATTTTTTTCATTTAAAGCTGCAATTACATAAGATTTTTTTTATAATGTACATGATTTTTAATATATTTAAGTAACATTAAAATTATATTGACATGTTCTGCAAGATATTTTACTTACTAGTGAAAATATCTTCTTGTTTAGTATTTTCCAAAAGATCGTCTTTTGTATTTTTTTCATTGTTGTATTTTACAGACATATATTTTTCGGTATGTTTAGAAACACGTTTTATTATCTTTGTTATCCAATTGGCAATTTCTAATTTATGCTCTGGGCTGTTAAAATGGGTGATAACATTTACAAAGATTTCAACTTCATCATTATGCTCTTCAAATATTTCACATTTATTTAATAATAAATATATTGTTTTGAACACTTCTGAATCTAATAAGATATTATTCATTCCCATTTTGCTCATTAAAAATGAAAGTGCAGAACTAAAAAGATTCTTTAAACATAATTTCAAATCAATTATTTGTTTATACTCAAAGATAAGTTTCTGTGAAAAAATACAATCATTTTCTTACTTTATTTGGATGAAAATCTGAAATATTTAAAGATGTCAAAATTTTTAAAGCTTTCACTTTCATGACAACAATATCTTGTTCATTAATATTTTCAATTTGATCTAAATTCGTCAATAACGTTACAGGTTGATTTTTAACGTTAGTCAAATTTTCAATATACAGAATATCTGGAAAATTTTCACTATAAACATGTAAGACATTCAATATTGCCATCAAATGATCTTTTACATTTACATGTGAATGTAGCAAATCATCACTTATAATCTCAGTATCTTTAATTACTGAAAAAGCACTGGTCCATATATTAAGTATTGATTCAAAGGTTGGCATATGCTGTAGTAAAATAATTTATCAATGGTATTAAAAGAATCAACTCAAATTAGTATATAGAGATTGCTAAAAAAATCACCTTAGACATGTAGTCAGATACAATGTTTTTAAAATGTATATACTCTGATCTGTTATGCTTGGAATTTTGAAATCCTATTAGAAGACTTTCAATTTTTTTCAGAATCGTTAGTAAGACATCAATGATTTCATGATGAATTAAGATATTATCATGCTCCATAGAAGGAAAAATAGCATTTTTAATAATTATTGGTGGCAGTATTAAGTTTAATGTTAGATTGGCCAATTGTTGCAATGACACATCAATGGAGCATAAATTCAAGCAAGTTTCTACATTAATATTATTAATTATCTAGTGTAATGAAGAAAAATTTTATTATTGGATGACTTGAATATTAAAAAGATAATATATAACAATCAAATAATAACAATAATTGAAATACCTTTTTAACAAATTGTATAACACCAATCCAGTTTCTTGAAATCCGTGGAGCCAAGAAAGGTTCTGTATAAATCAATTGTGGTTTAATTAAATCTGGACAAGCAGATAGTATTTTAATAACTAAATCTGAAATTTTATTGTGTTCCCAAGGTTTATCTAAACTTTGAAGTATGGTATTTATAAGTTGATTATGTTTTGAATTAAATTCAGTCCCCATACTTCTATCATAAAAAGCTACACCATGACGACTTGATGTCAATAAAGTTATTAGGAACTCATGCACAGTGTTATCAATTATCTACCAAATCATAGAAAAAATCATATAAATAGAACATAAAATTAATGTACTAATATAATTAAAATAATATACTTTTTTTTGTTCAGGATTAACACATTCTTGTATTGTATTTTGATTATTATGCTTTCGCCAATTTTCGGGTCCTTTCCAATGATATAAAGACACAATGTTTTTTATAACAGGAGTAGAGAATAAGTGCAGCTTCATAGTTTTACTAACTGTAGGATTTTCTAGTACATATTTTTTCATAGTTGCCAATACAAGTTGAACAACATCTGAATGATCATAAACTAATCCAGAAAATATACCAGAAAAAACTGCTCGTTTTTCAAGTAATGTTCTAATGTTGGTTGCATTACCTTCAATAAGAAAAGCTAAAATTAAGTGTATAAAACATGTTCTCACATTTTGAGGATCAGAAGGTTTGGAATGTGAAGTTAAAACATCAACAAGTTGTGGGTGTAATGATAAATGGTTCAATAATTCATGAGGTAATGTTCCACCTAATGACACAATAGCTGCTAATAACCTTAGAACAACTTTACGATGCTTTGCTTTTCCTTGACTAGATAACATTGAATGTATAGAATTTAGATGTGAGTTTATTAAATGACGACATGCTTCTTCTGTACTAGATTGATTCTGTGGATACTTTGCTAAAATTCTATATAGATCAAATAAATATTTACTGAAGAAAAACAATCAATAAAAAAATTATTAATATTACTTACTTCATGATTATAATATGCATTGCTGTAAAGACTGTAGTTATATTATTAACATTTCTTTTATCTGAATTATCAAGCAATCTAAGTATTTCTAAAACACTACCACCAGCTTCTAAATATTCATCAACTAAATTCTTTTTTTTATTTGTAGCGTTTTGATCACAAAATGCCACGAACTTATGAAGGATGGCATATCCATCAGCACTATTAAATGCATTTCTTAAAAATTTTCCATTTAATTCGTTGCTTTCTTTTTTAGTTATTTCTAGTTTTTGTGTATTTTCGTGATTTGAATCATCAGATTCTTCCAAAATCTCATTTATTTGAGTACTTTTTTCTTTTTCAATATTACTTTTATATTTACTTTCAATATCTTTCAGATTTTTTAATTCTGCTTCATCAGAATTCAGTTTCCTCCGTTTTTTCCTTTTACTATTAGGTTCTACCTCTTTTTTAAGTATACTATCAGAGTTTTCATAATTTGTATCAGTTATTAAAACTTTTGAATTTTTAGATTGCCCAATTTTCCTTTTCATTTTTAGAACAGATCTGAATAAATTTAATAACATTTAATTTATATTTAACATTAATTCAATCAAACATTTTTTAGTAAATATAATGATCTTACTTTTAAAATTTATGTAATTTATGATAAATCAAATAAAAAAGTATTTACAGAAACCACAATCACTATAATAAATACTTTTATGAAAATTTATTTGAAAATGAACATTTTTGCATTTACATTGATTTATAATGATTTTCAGAAATAATATCTTTGTTAGCAACTTTTTTCAAATGTAGAAATTATTTTTTAACACTCGACCCTACAGCACTAGGAAAAACTTAACCTTACTTTTGGCCACGTGCGACCCACAGACCAACACATTAACGCACATAGCCAGAGTTCGGGACTGTTTCAAGCGCCCCGCAGTATCTAAACAGCTCAACTATACGCAGCGTTTAAGCCCCGGTCCCCATAGCTACGTATGAATACGGACGGATACGGACGCGAATCGCAACTCTAGTAACATCACTAAAAATATCTAGTTCGATTATTTAGTACCAACACTACCGGTAGTGAGCAAAAGTAATTGTTGTTTAAAACTGTAGCGCCGAACGTACCAAATTTAATGTTCAAATGTCAGGTCTACAATTTACTTTTCAAATTCTCATGAATATTGCTTATTGATGAGTATGCTAATGTAAAACAAGCTTTTGGGATGATTAATACACATCATTTATATATATTTTCTTCTTCTTCTCATATATTCAAGTACTTCCATAAAATTAAGGCCTAATTCCACTAATTGTAGTTGAAAGTCTATCAATTCTCTATCATTTGCCATCTTATAGACTGCAATAATGTAAAGGTTAAGTAAGCGTTCATTAAATGCGGTACGTTCGGCGTTACAGTTTTAAACAACAGTTACTTTTGCTCACTACCGGTAGTGTTGGTACTAAATAATCGAACTAGATATTTTTAGTGATGTTACTAGAGTTGCGATTCGCGTCCGTATCCGTCCGCATCCGTACGTATCTATGGGACCGGGGGGCCTATTCTGAAAAAAAATTTTGTGGTAAATCAGTTTGTCACTTCAGTTTACCACAGAATTAATCACTTTAGATGTGATAAATGCTTATGACATGTGCTAAAATTTTTTTTCAGAATAGGCCCCGTGCTAAAATTTTTTTTCAGAATAGGCCCCCGGGGCCTTAGGGAGTGTCTACACGGGATCCGTCCTCGGATCCGTGGATGGATCCGTCCCCGTCCAAATTTTTATAGGCACACGCCATCTTCATAACTTCAAGTTCAGTGGTGAGTTTCAAATTTGATGTGAGAATTGAAACTCACCACTGAACTTGAAGTTATGAAGATGGCGTGTGCCTATAAAAATTTGGACGGGGACGGATCCGTCCACGGATCCGAGGACGGATCCCGTGTAGACACTCCCTTAAGGCCCTCGCCACATATGCGCATATGCGCGCGTACGAGGGCGTACAAACGCGTACAAATCGCTAAAAATTTTGATAGTGCCAACAACAGAAAGTTACTACTATTCCTCGCATACCCCAAACGAACACACTTACTCCCGGAACAAACGTATCATAATGCTATATTATTGAAGGTTATTAATTTTTCGATACTCCGTGCACAAAATGTGTCTTTCCCGCACGTTGTCTGCCGAGCGTGCGGGAAAAACGCACTTTATGCACGGAGTATCGAAAAATAAATAACAAAATTAATAAATCAAAGGCCTCAGCGTATAGAACATTTTCACGGTTTAGCCTGCGGTCATGTCCTGAGGATGGCAGCACCTTTGGAACATTTAATGTTACACGTTTTATAATATATATACGTATATCACTCTCAATTTCCATGATCCATGATTCATCTATGCCCATGGTTGCGTATATTCGTTAGTTGTGTTCATGTATGTCTAATGAATAACTAACTTTCCTTCCATTTCGTATTAATTATATCTACATTCCATCAATAAATAGATTAAAGATGCCATTTTATTCATGATAGCTTACTAGCAATTTTTTAATAATTCTTCTACATATTATCGAAACGAAAAAAATGTATTACAACTGAAGCAATTGATTATTTATAGATCACCATGGTTGAAGAAATTATAAATACAAACAATAAATCTAAGGTAATTATAAGTAATACAATTTCTGAATCAAAATATCCAAAAATTTTTTAGCATATGATAAAAATTTTATAATAATTTAGAATAGGACTGCAAGACCTCGTCCAGTTTATTTATGGAATGTTTTGGATGTTCAAAAATGGTTACGCAGACATTGCAGTGATTATTATCAAATTTATCACGAAAAATTTTTATATGTAAGTTTTTTAATGTCATGTTAAGACTTCTGATATTTCAATTGTTTATAATAATTTAAATTCATATCATTTTCAAGCATGACATCACAGGACGAGCTTTATTAAGATTGAATGAAAATATTTTAATGAGATTAGGAATAGAAAATAAAGAACACAGGATAGATATTTGGAGAGAAATTATGAAATTACACCTGAAAACTGATATTTTAGAAATTAGAGATATTGAAAGACGTAATAACATGAATTATGATTAAGGACTGTGTTAATTTTATACATATAGTAATTATTTAATTAGATTAGATTTATACACCTTATAAAATATACAGTATTTATAATTCTTAAAGGAAAAAGAGATTACATAAAATGTCAATACATCCATCGAGATATATACAATAAACTTTAATTAAAATTGCATAATTAAAGTTATCAGATTCTCTAAAACATTTTTTTTAAACAAAGATCTATTTATTTTAATCAAAAAAATATATAAGTAGTAATACTGCTATAAAAAAAAGAAAATACAGATACATAAAGTTATCTTAATTTTTACCACCCTACCTAAATCATACGGAGATATAACTTTTGAATACATTTGTTGTCTTTGAAATAATTTAGTTTTTTCTTCTGTTTTGAAAAAGCTCTGATGACTAGATTAAAAAATAAAACCCCAAAATGCACTTTGTTTAAAATGCTTCTTTAATATTTTGGAATTGCTGTATTGCCAAATCGATTGGCAAATCAAATTTATATTTTGTTAATTTATCTAAAGTATGGAAGGCATCTTGAAAGCCTGCAAAGTTATTATAATTAATAAATAGAAAATAATGAGATTATTTTCAATTAATTTACCAGTTTTTACGACATAACTCCAAGGCATGTAGTAATTTTCTAACAAATACTGGCATTGAAGTATAAGTTTTAGCCATGTCACTAATTTATTGGCACTAAAAAAAATACAAAATTTTAATGATTTACTTAAGTTTTATATTACATATACTTTAATATTATTGAAATTAACTTACTTTAATGCAGCACATATAAATGCCTTAAAATTTGCATCAAGACTTCTCTTATATCGCGAATGCGTTGTGATAATATTCCCTATAGTTACCAAAAGATTCTGAAATTACAGTCCAAATTAAAAATGTTATCAATTAACTACAATAGATTTTTGGAGCTTTTAAATTAATTCATACTTGTTTAGAAGATGATGTTTGCCCTCCATTCAAGTCCAGATTAAAGCTCTGAGAAAGTTTTTGAACTGGAGTAGAATTATACCGATGACCATTTTTTATTTCATAATATTTGAGAATAATTTCCCAAGCATGCATAAAGTTATTAGAATTGTAGCTTCTCAGTGTAAAGCAACCAACAAAAGGAACAACACTATTTACATTAGCATCTGTTGAGGTACCATGCTGCATCAAATCTCGAATACAAATAGCCAAGTGTTTTCTAACAGCTAATGTTACTTTAGCATTATATTGACTAATGTTTGAATCTGAATCAGAGTTGTATGCTAATTCTTCATTCAGACTATCTCTACTGCTACAATATTCACTTTCAGCAAGAGTCTGTAATACATGTTCCACTGCAATATCAAGTCTGGTTCGAAGGTCTCTCCAACCATGCATTGTATCTTTTTTTCTAATTCTTTGAGACTTTTCACTCCCACAACCCATCTGTGACATTAAATAAATGTGCAATAATGCTACGACTTTTCTAACTGTATTCAGATTTGTTGCTTGATTTTTATGCTCAATTGGTTTTGTAAATGACCTTCTGCCAGTATGACTTTGAGCAGACCCATTAGTATGTACTGGGCAAGCACACGTACAAGCTAATGTTTCAGGACTGACTTCTTCTTGTAAGTAATTTATAAATCGTTCTAAATCAGTGATTTGAGTTTTCAACTGAGATATGAGTTGTTCTTTCATTTTCAATGGGCTTACAATCTGAAAATAATTATAGTAAAAATGACTGTACAGTATTTACTTTAAACTTATGTTTCAATGTTTACCTGATTAATTGCATAATCAACTTGCCATCTAAGATCATCAGTAGAGAGTTTGCAAAAATCTTCTACATTAAAATTTAATTTTTCTTTTAAATGATCTGAAAAAGTATTTTTCATGAAATGTTTTGTTATATAGTTTAATACTATAAATTATTTATCGAATAACGTACTTATTATTAAATTTTGTCTTTCCAAAATAACACTCTGAGGTAAGTCAGCATCACCAGTTTCATAAGCAAATTTCTCCAACTCTTCTAATTGTGTTTTTAATTGGCATATCAACTCTTTCTGTTTATTTTTCTGAATTTCTGTTTTTAAATCTGTTTCACTGTCTTCCGCATTCGTAAACTGTAAAACATTTTATAAAAATGACATTTTTCAAAATTGATAAACCATTTTGTCTTTATTTTACAATGAAAAAAATTCTATTTAACGAATGAAATTTCTTTTAACAAAGACATTCATCTTACATCATATCTGTGACTTAAATTTGATGAAGATGATTTCTTATTGAAAACTAGATTGCCTTGGATATCAGGAATCCCTCTAAATGCAAATTCTTCCAATTCTTTTAACAATTCTTCCTTTTTACTAGTAGGAGCATCACATATTTGTTTTAAGCGAAATTGTACCTAGAAAATAATATCAGTTATTCCAACATTCTTTTTTTTGACTATATATTTTTATTGTATAATATTACTTGTGCAAAATGAGTGGTCAATGCTATAAGAGAAGAGTTAAGCATTTCTTGTTCCTCTTCCAGCTCTCTAAGTCTGTCTATTTTACTGTATAAAGAAAAAAACAGTGTTATTCAAAGTTATAACAATTGACAATTATTTTATCACACAAATGATATTGCAAATTACCATGTCCAAGCAAAAAATGAAAACAGTACAGTTAGCTATTCTACTTAAAGAAACAATTATTGAAATTTACATATCTACAATCACTACAAATTTATGAGTAATTAAAAAAATATTATTGAATTGTAATTTTAGTGATTACAATCAGTTTAAGCTAATGTTCTATTTAACAAAGCATAATTCTTATTACCTTCCCATACTAGGTTTATATTCAAGTGCAAAATCATCATCCCCATTGTTAGCACCAACTGGATCCCATCTTTCTCCTGATGGACTATCATTTTCTTCTGAAATATCTAATTCGCTCATACTAAACTGTAGCTCATCAGTGACTGTATTTCCATCCATTTTTGGCTTTCTTCATTAAACATTCAGAAAACCGCACAATATCCGATCAGCATGAATTTTTTAACCGTATGTTGTAATAATCAATTTAACTGAATAATAATTACACACGTCTTCTAATTGTTCATTTTCATGACTCGTATTTTTTAACTTTTTTACGGGAAACATGACCTGTCCTTTATTTTCTAAAAACACTTTAAAGACTAAGAATCGCAATATTTTTGAAATCACATTGATGATGAAAGAAAATGAGTTAATGTTTGGAATTTGTCATAAAATCGATTCGTTTTACGTCGGCTCGAGTGTTCTAAACCAGAGTTTAACAGAGTGATTGTTAAAGGTATATTCGTGTCTCATTCGGCAATTTTCGTTGGGGCGATCCTAGCGGCCACGCTTGGAACCTTGTCTATGTAGTTTAATTTAGTTTAGTCTAGTCTAGTCTAGTCTATAGTCTAGTCTGGTATCTAGTAGCAAAAAAAAGAGAACCTGACAAGGTGAAGCTAGTTTATTTGTGATCTGATTGGCTGAAAGATAATCACGTTATCAACTGTTATGCGATAGTATTTATGCGAAAAATCCAAATACTGGATTTAGTTAGTAAATGTAAACTTGAAAGCCTTTTAGAATTTACTCATTCATTGATGTTGTTTAGCGAAACAAAGGCACATTTTATTTAAAAAATTTTACAAAGAATTCAAAATATCTTGGTTTTGAAGGTTTATTGATTTATCTACAAAGACTATTTTTACTACGACGGTCATCACATATATCTTCGATAAAAAAACTTACAAGGTGTCACGTCGATACTAATAAGAGAACGCATATATGTGATGGGCTATTATTGTAACTAATCAGGTACCGGTAATTTAACTTTCTATCATATCAATTGTCAACTTTCTCGGGAAGATTTGTAAATTTATCTAGCAAAATAGATTAGACTAAGCACGTTCTCCATAGTATTACTCATCACATCTAAATTAAGCAAAAAGACAGAGAATGGGGACGTCAGCCTATGGTATAAAGAAGGCTGGATCAGGATCCGCGAATAGGCAGTAGTAGTTCAGTAATTCTGTAGTATATAGTACTATTGTATTTCTAAGTTTCGCTACCCGGTTGCTCAGAACCGGAATTGTACTCTAAAATTGTTCTTTCAAATAATAAATCTAAATCAAGTACAAACACCTGAAACTCATTCATAAAATCTCTTCTGAAGCCCGCTCCTAACAAGGTAAGAAACTTAGTTATCTACTTAGACACACCAGATATAATAAAGGCGTTATCCCTTTAACCAATCTCTGACTAAGATCCAACTTTTACCAACGCGACAGTATTTTAAATATTATTGCGTCTAGCCATAACACCACCCCGTCTAGACATAACAATGGTTATTAGATGTAGATCATTTTATAGAATAATGCCTCCAAAGATAATTATAGAATAGCCCAGATTTCTTTGGTTTGATTTCTATTTTTTGTTATTGTTGTTGAAAAGTGTGTATACTTGATTATAGAGATAGAGGATTTTGACCGCATAGTTTATTACTATTAGTTATTTTCTTCTAAATTAGAATGAAGCGATGTTGCATTCGCTTAGTATGCTAATTGTCCGATATTACCTTAATAAAATTTTCATGTCAAGTTTCTTAAGGACTGGGGGAGCAAACACGTAATAAATTATTTAAATTAATTTGGCCTATCTCACCAAATTTCTACCTAACGGCTCTTCAATCTCTAATCATATACATGATCCAAAATATACAAAAATGCACGTGGATTCAAATGAACTTATTGAAACACTACTTTAAAACAAACAGAACATCATCAACAAAATACTATTCCTCCCTACTAAAAAACGCGGTGTCGATTCCACGATGATTCGGTACAGAATTTACAACGATGAATACATTGAATCGAAGTAGAATCGGCGTAAAATCGACGTCGATTAGTGCCTGAATATAAATGTCCGAAAACATGTTGTCGAATCGGTGTTGAATCTTAGTTGAATCGAAGTAAATCGCAGTGTCGAATCATAGTTAAATTTGAGTATAATCGGTGTAAACAAAAGGTATTATAGGGGTATAATTGGAGTATAATCAGGGTATAATCGGCATATATTCGGGATATATTAGAGATTAAATATGAGAGAATTTCAATTGAAATAAATTGTACGTGAATTTGAATTATGAACGATGAATAATTGTTATTTAAAATCGATAATTAAGCAATAACATTCAAGTTTTTGTAAAATTATGTTTATTAATATTCTATAATTTATATAATTAATATAATTTTCTGGATAAAAACTGTGAACAATATAATTTTTTTAAATATTACTTAGTTAATACCTATTTGCATTCAACAAATAACAGATTTCAATTTCGAGTCATTAAAATAATAGAATTTAATAAACTTGTACGATATCTTCATTCAATAGTTTGTGATTACGCTTGTCATAAGGATCTTTCCATTTCTTTATTTTATCAGCGATTTCTTCTGATAAAAACATTGATACTTTATTCAATATTACTTTCAGAGTTGTGCTTTGCAGTAAATCTTTACGATGAATGATTAATCAAAATTTCAAACATTCTGTAAACAATAAAGTTTATCTTAGTAATTTTGCAAGTTATTGACAACTAGGCTAAATCCAAATTAAATATTACGAATACATACTCTTGTATACTTTCAATTCTTGTATTATTAATTTTGTCCTTTTGATTGCTGTTACTTGTCGCATCGACTCCATTTTTTTGAAATATTTCTCAACTATAGTACCATGTGGATAAAGTGCTCTGCTCAATTTTTTTTTTTTTTTTTTTTTTTTTTTATTGAAAGCTTTCAAATCATATACAGATTTATTCACTTTACAGTGTAGAGTATACATTTACAGGTTATTATTATACATAGGAGTAGATCAGTTTGAACTAATTAATATCACAGTGGAGTCTTAAGCTTTTGGTATGTTTGATACAATGAATATATTAAGCGCGCAGAGCATACAGTTTTTAAGGAAGTTTACAATGTGTAAGCAAGCAGCAATATTGGGCTTTTTGATTAATGTTTTGATGCACAGTGGGGGCTGGAGATTAATTTAAGAAAGTTGTTCATATAGCTTTATTCTTTGGTCACAGTAAAGTGGACAGCTCCATAGTATGTGTTCGATATCCTGAGAAGGAAAGGAACAAGGGCAGCTAGGATCGTTAATAATTGAGACTCTTGCTAGGGAAGCGTTTAAACTGTAGTGATTTGCTCTTAGTCGATTAATTGTAACTATGAAATTTCGAGAAAGCTTTTTGTAATAAAACCACGGTTTATTGTTATCACTATGTGACGGCTAGCCATAACTTAGTTTTTTTTATATTTAATTATTAAATATGACGAACGGAGTGGGAACCTTCCTGATTTCCCACGATGAAAACGCATTCGAAATATAAACTTTGATAGTGGCCCGAGCCTGCGTACTCAAGCTTACAATCAACGCTCTATCCTGCTTTGTCCCACACGTATGTGTTGACAGGGGCCTACGATCATCGCGTATACATCGTGAAGTGTTATCACGCCGATAATGGAAGGGGACCATAAAAATGCAATCTATCTTTTTTTTTCCCACCGATTTTTAAGAAAATATCCGTAATATTAAATAGATTTTCATCAATTTTGTAAGCCATTATAATGCGCACCTTTTTGTCACCGAATAACCAATAAATAGAACAATAATGTATTTTATAATAAATCGTAAAAGGTTTGAATTTTTCTGAATGTTCATAATAGTCACTATGTATCGTCATAATTAATTAAGTTTAGTACAATTATGTATAAGTAATTATAAGCTATAGCGTTACTCTTGCTCTTAAAAGTGGCACTCCGAGAGCCATCTCTGGAGAAAAGGGCCCAAGTTAAAAAGGGACCGCCCTTTCTCTCTCTGAAAATTCACGCCCACAGACCAATAAAGAAATTCTGGATATGATTAGAAAATTTCCGACCAATACAAAATTTAGCCGTTATCGCTTCATGGGCCTGAGGAAAGGGATTTCCACCCAACCACCCACGGCTTATAAAAAGCTCTGTACAAGGCTGGAGAGGAAGTTAAGTGAAGTTAAGTTCAGTTCAGTCAGTTAAGTTAGAGGAAGTCAAGTTCAGATAGAGTAAGTGCGGAGTGAGCACCAGGAAGTCCGTAATAAGAAGTTTTTACTAGTGAGCGAGTCCCGGAGCAAGCATCAAATCACCCAACTATATTCAGAACATATAGAGAGAGAAAGAGGCCAAAGAGCAGAGAGAGAACGCAACATTAATAATAACTAAATTGATAAAATAAAAGTAAGTAAAATCTTAAACCTGGCTATCCTTTTCTTTCTTTAAGTAATCCGCCTTTCTTTTGGAAATTCATTAAGCGTGAGTCTGGTGAATTTCCATTAAAGTCCCTTAAGAACACATTAAGCGTGAGTCTGGTGTGTTCGTAATAACATTTGGTTATTACATTCCCCGTTAGCATACAGTTTTCTCAACGCAACAATATTGCTCGTCCCGGCTTGTGTGTTACACGATAGCCAAATCAGAGCAACCCTGAGTTTACGCTTGCTCCAAGCGTACCTGAGAGTGACCCCGACGTCACATAAAAATTTTGGAGGCCCCGGAGGGATTAAATTGTTGCAAAGAAAACTGTTAGGGTTTTCCTTTCTTAAATTATATCAGTGATCAGTTAGAGTAAAAGAAAATTAAGAATAGATACTACTTAAAGTATTTTATTGAATTTGAAATCTGTGAAGAATAAAATAAAGTAATAAAATTTTTTTTTTTGAATAAGAATACAAATTTATTAGTCAGAAAATCACTGATTTAATTGAGAAAATAGAAAATAAGTTTTGTGTTAAACAAGGAGATAGGTTAAATTGAAAGTGAAAATTAATTGGAGTTTATTTGGATTGAACTTAGGAAAATTTTGGGAAAATTAATGGGAATTTATTTTGTAATAAAGAATAGTGAAATAATTTAGAAAATATTGAAATTTGAATGAGTAAATTAATAGAAGAGTTAGAGAAAAATAAAGAAAATTAAGTTGTTTAAGAAAAGAGTTTGAAAAATATTTGAAATTTGAAAAAATTTTCAGAGAAGAATCATTTTTTATGAAAGTAAAATTATAAATCAGAATAGAAAATTCGTCCAAAGAAAAGTCTTCTTTTGTGCCTTGAAGAGAGAAATAAGAATAAATGCTTATTATAGAAAAAAGAGGGTTTTGAATTTATGTTTTGTTCTAAAAATTGTATTTAAAAATAAAAAGGTTAATTTTAGAAAGATTGAAAATAACATACAGGAAAATTTTTTGAGATAATATTACTAATCTTGTCTGAGTCGGAAAGAAATACATTAGCAATAAAAATTAATTAGAGAAATTAGAAATCTTGCGGAAGAAAACTTAAAAATAAATAAATAAATAAAACTCGGAGTAAAAATAAAAGAGTATTGTGTTTAAAAGAAATTTAGGAAATCTTGCTGAGAAAAATAATATAAAAGTAGAAATTTTGAAATAAATAATTTTGCAAACTAGAAAAATTTAAATAAGAAAATTGCCTGTTATAAGTAAAATAAATAATTTTAAAAACAAATAGTATCAAAGAATGAAAGGTTTAATTAAGAAAGTTTAAGTAAAAATAAAGATAAATATCTTTCTGTAGGAATCAAAATTTATATCTAAGAAATGAATTGCCGCAATATATCTGTAAAAATAAAATTTTAATAAAACGTTCACATACAGTTTTCATAATTCTACAAACGAATAAGTTTTAATAAAATTTCGTTGTTTAGATAAATAAGATTTTTGGTCTTTCTTTTAGTTGTAATGCCACCGTTCGTAAGTTTTAATACTTTTTCTAACGAAGTAGTCGACACGGTAGATGAATTAATCGAAGATATTACACATTTAAAGGACAGTCAAATATCCGTAATTGATAGGGTTAATAATCATAGTTCCGATATCACAAGAATAAATAATAACGGTCGTAGTCTTAGCGCACGTGTCGCG